AAATACAGATTTACAGGTCCAATATTTGAATCCCTCTATTTGAAAACTGTGGCTTAAAAAGTAACCCCTCTTACCTCATGCATCATTGGAGAGATTTTCTTCTGATTTCCCCAAAGTACCTCTCCCCACAGTAGGACTCAGGCTATGATGCCTCAGTTAGAAGGGCTAATTTAAGCGGAAGGTAATAGAGAATCCACTCCATGCATATTATCAGTGTTCCCTGTCCTGGTGCAGGAGGTCAGACTGGTGCCTGCTGAGGGCAGAGGAACTGCTGGTCTGGCACTGCACTCACCAAGGGCCTTTTTACAGTTTTCAGGTCCCTTTTCACTGAGACACCCAAATGATCTGTTTACCTTCAGAATCAGAGATAAAAAGGATTCAGGACAAAAGTGTCATCAGAGCTAGTGGCTTATTGAAAAGTCAGGTTGCTTTCTCCTGCAGACTATCCCAGTCATGCAGGACAGCTTTACCATGGAGGGGTTATACTGACTGCCTGATGGGACCTTCCTAAGGCTACGGTATTTTGCGAGAAGTTCGTGTAAAACAAACAAACAAACAAAAACCAAAACCAAAAAAACCCCAACCAAACACACAAAAAAAAGAACCAGTGTGGGGGCAGTGTATCAACTGTTACAAAAATTGGGATAAAAGGAAACAAATGCATGAGCTGAGGCGCCTATGAGATGGATTTCCCTGGGAATTCCTGCTCTCAGCCCTCTGGCCCCAGGGGACCGGCAGAGGGTGGCACCACACTGTTGGTCACAACCGCAGCATGCTGTGTCAAATCACTAGGGTTAAAGACATGACTTGAATGAATGGAATTTGGAACTTAATAGCAGATATGTCTGAATCTGGGTTTTTCCCTGAAATTCAGGAAAAGCTGCAGTCATCTGGTCCTCTGTTTGAGTCACCCAAAGAAAGAGATGAGAGGTCTGTGTGCAGCAGTGCAGAGCAGGACAGAGTATGCAAGGAAGGGAGAGGAGAGGGAACGAATGGTGAAAAACAATGAAGAAGAAACCAGAAAAAGAGGAGAGATGGGGGGATTTCTTCAGAAAACAGAAGCTGAAAATGTTTTAGCTTTAAAGACTTTCTTGGCTACTTCTATCGAATCTTTCCTGAGTTTCCTTGTAGAAAGGCTTTATAGAAAAGCAGGATCAATAAGCGGGGAGCAGCTTGTGCTCTTAGTGCTGTACTAATTCTGAGCTCAACTGCCCTGAGGAGCCCTGTCCATAACTTAAGCAGCAGCTGGGTGGAACTTTACTGCGCTCCCCAAGCTCTGGGAGGCATTCTCCTCTTCCCAGTCCCTCCCCTTCCAGAGAGGTATGGTGATGATAGGGTCTCTTGAATGACCAAGCTCTGGTGTGCAGTTTTCAGATGCTCCTGTTATGTGTGCACTGGAAATTATGTTCCAAACTGTTTAACAGTCAAAGGTCTAATTTTACAGAAAATAGGGTAATTTTGCAGTTCTCCAGCATAAAAACCATGATCTATCACTTCAATATTCCTTGGCTGTTTCTTAGCATCTCTCATCTAAAGGCTTTAAAGTGCAGTTAGACCTTAATGAGTAAAGACTCACAATCTCCCCAGAAGGTAGGTTTGGTGCTCGTTCCATTTTGCAGATGAGCAAACTAGGACACAGAGAGGAAGTGATTTGCCCTCCAAGGCCACATGTGAAGGCTTAGAACAAATCCAAACTCTGATCTGGCCACCCACCACTTGATTTTTTGAAGCCATTTTTTAGGTAAATCTTATGCAGTTCTATTGGTGAGGTCCTAGCAGTTTTTTCAGATTAAATGTAAATATTGTCTACATCAAGGAAATCTCTCCTAATAAGCAACAGTTCAAAGCAAGGACTTGTCTATTAGATTATCCCATTTTCTGCCCTTTCCTTCTGGGTCACATAATCTACAGTTCACAACACATAGAGACTTGACTCAAATTTTATACTTGCATACAGACTTGTCTATGTGCACCCTTGTGTGCTGATGCTCTTCTGCAGGGCCTTACAGCACCCCCAGCTGCTGCAGTGAAGGGGAAACTCTCTCCGAGCCCCCTGCGCCGGCAGCGGGGCTGGTGGTGTGACCGCCAGCCGCTGGGAGGCTGCTGGAATTTCGATGAGTTAATCTCATCACTTTATCACAGGGCACTTACAGAAATTACAGGGAGCTGTGAGCACCTCACTGTGCTGGCAGCCAGCCTCAGGACCCATAAAAGAAATTGAGACACACAAAAAAAAAAAAAAAGTCAGAGAACTTTGTTAAAGTTTTGGAGACGATAGTTTTTCTTGAACAAGTTCTGCTTGGGTAATGCTGATTGTGCCTTTCCTGGTGATGTCCCTGTTTTCTGCAATAATGGCAGGTATTGCCCCCAGCTGTGGCTCTCAACTCACGCAGCACAGAGCATGTTTTGGGGCCTGATACAAAACTCCATTTACTTTGGCAGCATTGTCTTGTGTGAAGAGGGTACGGTGAGCCTCACCTCTAGCATTTGCGCCTGTAGAGAGGGCTGTAAGACACAGCTGCTGATGCTTTCTTCCTTTAGACTGGGCACAGTGTGTGGAAGGGGCTCGTGAGCCTGTGTTCAATGTGAAGGCAGTAATGCATGCTGAACGGGACGTCCCACCAGTGCTGGGTGTATTTTTTCCCCTGTGCTTACCAGCAAACCACATGGCTGCTACACTACATGGTGGCCACTGCTTTGCTGTCCAGGAAGGGGAGCTTGCCCAGTGCCCAGCCTCCTCTGGCTCTGATTCTTTAACAGTCATGATCCCAGCACAGAAGTGCCTTTGAGAACTGCTTATTCAAGCTGTACATACAGTGTGTATATTTGGTAACCAGTACCTACTCTGACACTATCACATTTAGTTGTGATGTAGATTTTGTAGACCGTTTCCAGTACTTTGCTTGTCAAGGGGTCCATGGGCTGGAGGCATGGGGAAGCTGGGGGATCTGCTTGATACAGTGTAGCGAGACCTTGAGCTGCCAGATGAGGGCCGTCACTGCCTTCCGCTGCTATAAGGGCTCAGCGCCCTTGGTGTAGTGTCTCTGTGTTAGGGGGCAAATTTTTGGCCTTGGGACCACAAAAACATGAAATCTTACATCTCTCCAGAACTCTAGTCCTGGCTTTGGTGAGAAAGGTGGGCATTGAAACTAAGGCTGGATGGATCATCAAAGGGATCTAGAGCAGGAGTTTGTTTATTACCTTGAGATCAAGCCTGAATCTCAATTTCCAGCTCTCTGAGAACTTTGATACATTGCTGGCTATTGAAATTCAGGTGCTGCACAATGACGAAATACAGTCTGAATGGAAGCAACTTGTGCAGCACACTTTGCTCCTGCAGACAAACTGCATTTTGGGGGCAGAGCAATGGTGAGGAATGAGGTGGCTGGGCTGGAACTTAGGGGCAAGTTGCAAGTCTTGTGACAAAACAAGAGGCAAGAGGTAGAGGTTTATAACTAGCAGGCAGATCACCTTTAGGCTTTGGGTGTTGTGTACTCCTAGGGTTTCACCCAGCATGGACCAAGCATAGTGAGATAAATCAAATGGTGCTTTCTTCCTTTTGAATCTGTGCTCTGTCTTTCCACTCAGATTTCCAATGGGCTTTCCATCTGCTTAGCCCCAAAGTCTAATTACCACCACCAGAGATTGGTATGTATCAGATTGTTAGTCTTTATTTAGAGGAAGGAAGAGTCTTGCACAAGAACATAGAAATCCATTGCAAAAGTAGGAACAAAAATCAAGTCCTGTCCCAGTGCTACTAAATTGTAAGCTCTACTTCTAATCTGATGGTATACGAAGTCCATACTGTGTGTTCTCTCAGCTCTTATCTACACTCCTCCCTGCAGCTCTCATTGAACTCTTGAATCTCAATTTCCTGCTCTAAACCACCAAACCATTTTTTCCATTCTTCTGAACTGACTGTAGAGCTTGGAAATCCTTTTCAGAGCTGCCTGATTTACCCAGTAGCTAGACTGCCTTCAATGTATTGTCATTGCCAATGCATCACTGTCAAGCTTAGATTTCCAGTCCTGCCCCACAGCAAACATTGAATAGCCCTCTTCAGAAACATCACCTCCAAAGTGAATGACAGCATGGAGACAGCCATTTCTGTTTATCTTCTAGGACTAAACAATTGTTGCATTACACTGTGATCCAGCATAATTCCACTTACCTCCTCATATCAGACCCTCGCATTCGTGTCTCAGTTACATTCTTGGCTTATGATAAAACATGATGTGAACAGAAGTAAATTTGGGATGCTTCTTTCCCTGTTTTGTCTTGGAGGCAGTGAGGTGATCATAAATGAAAGCGAATGAGGAAAGAAATACTGATGCTCTGTGCAGGGGGATGAGGCAGGTGCACAAGGACTAATAAAGTAAAACTGGAAAGATTTGCATAGAGAGCCTGTGTTCATTTTACAGGACATCTTATCCATCTTTTTCAGTCCAGACCTGCTGCTTCCCTGCTACCTGTAGTATGCCAGCTGGCAGGAGGAAGCAAAGGAGGAAATGCCATCTCTGAGCAACTTGGTCCCCCAAGCAAGGCAAGAAAGGACAGTTGACATCCATCCCACAGACATGGAGCAAGACTGACAGCAAGGGGAATGCTGCTAATGTCTGAACTGCTCCCACTCTCAGCCCTGGACTTCAGGGAACAGGCCAGGTTATAAGGGATGCAGCACAAGGGATGATGACGTTCCTGGAGGACACATTGTGCCTGAAAGCCCAGCATTGCAGTCAGCCCCTTGGATGGACAGGTTTCTCCCAATACTTAGAGCGGTATTGCTTTTTTCTGAAATGTGTTCTAATAAGTAATGCTGGGCTCTCTAAAAGCCATCATCAGCCGGCTTTGGCCTCAGAGTATGTGTGTGTGCAAACGAGTGAGCAAACATACAGCATATACAGACTGATGGTGGTGGGAATATCTGGGCACTACAGCCTGTCCCTGGATCAGTGGGGAGAACATGGTTCCTGGGTGACCATCTCTGTGTTTGATTGCAGGGAATATTGAATACAGCTGCCCGGCCACCAATGAATGTGAGATCACGAAACGGAGGCGCAAGTCCTGTCAGGCCTGTCGCTTCATGAAATGCCTCAAAGTGGGGATGCTAAAAGAAGGTAAGACAGAGTCAGACTGAGAATTGTTCTCTGTCCCAACAGCACCTGGGACTCCAGGCCTTGCAGGATCTCCTAGGCTAACTACACACTTGCCTTCTCTGGCTTTCTGAAGGTATCTTTTTACAGGCTTTGTGAAGGAGTCAGGATGGGCAGCGACCAAGAGCGCAGTCCAGAGAGGAGAGTGGTTCTAGTCAGCACCCTCATGCTTGGATATTACTTCTAGCAGTTGCAAACTTGACAAATAACTGGAAACTGGCTGTGCCAGACTGTTTCCCTTCCCAAAGGAACCCCAGGCTGGAAGGTGTTGCTCTTCTTGCCCCCCCAGGTCATTTTGCAGGGTTGGTGAGGAGAGGCTGTTGCATGATCATGACTGGGCTTCGTAAGGGAAGGATGGAGTTAATGCAGAGCTATGGCACAGTGTGCAACGAAGGTCTGCGCATATTTCCACTCAGGAGACTTTCTGGAGATAGTGGGTAGCACAGGTTTGTCTGGGAGCTCTGGGTCCCCTGCCCTGCATGCTCAATCTGCGTTGTGCTCAGCCTATTGATCTGTTCAGCGCTTTCCGAGCAGTGTTCAGCTTCTCTCTTGTGCTGCTTTTTCTCTGCCCACCCCCCTCCCCAATCCTTGTCCATTCAAGGTGAACCGCAGGGAATTCAGTGGCAATTAAACACATTCTTATGGATTGACTTTAAAGCTTTGTTTCCCTTGGGTCCCTCTGGGAGAGGAGGGGAGGAGGGAGAAGGAAGGAGAAGCGTTGCATGTAACCCTCTGCATTGCAGAGCATGGTTTAACCACAGTTTAACCACAAGAACAGCAGCTGGCTGTGGTCTGCGCAAGTCCTGTATGCTGGAGCCAAGATGCCAGTACGCAGCTTGCTTCCAGGTCATACCATCATGAAGCTGGCGATGAATTGTACAATGTGACTCGAGCATGTATTGCTTTGTACTAGGGCTCTCTCATTTCTTGAGAGGCAAGTTGATGGCAGCCAATGTTGTTAAGAATGTAGATTAGATGTTAAACCCTGTTCTGTTCTTTGATGGATATGTAGTTTCTGTTGTTAAATATCTTCCTGCTAGAGCACACCAGTTTCCAAGAGGAGGAGATGCAGACTTGTGAAGCCTGGCCCTCCCTGACCTAGGTGTAGAGGTGGTAGACTCGGAGGATCTTAGTCCACTTCTGGGAGGGAGGCACCTACTTCTGGAGTTAGAGGGGGACCACTGGAAACCTGCTTCTCTGCATGTGGTAGTTCGGGGAGGGGATATATCCCCTTGCCCACACGCCAATCCACACTAGTGACACTGGGTTTAGTGGGAGCACAGATTGGTACTGCACTCTAGTCTGCTCATATGAATCCCATAAAACAACCTTAAAAGCGTGATGTGGCTCCAGTCACTGTGCAGAGCAGCAGCATGGGTCCAGGCTCGCTGGCTGCCTGTGTCTGTGCTGCCCTGCATCCAAGCAGTTGAGCCTCTCGGAGCTGGCAGCTGGGGAAGCAGAGTCACAGGAGCTGGCGCTGGTGTGTCTGACTGTGTGGCCAGGGCATCCTCTGCTTCCAATTCTGGGAGTTCGACACAGTCCAGAGCAGGGTCCTGTGAAGGGTTTTGTGGCTTAGCCTCCAAGTTGTGTGAAAACAGTTAACTGCTTCCAGACCAGAGTTAGGCTGGAAAGCGATGTAGGTTCACTCACACCATGCTGTGCCTGAACTCCTGAACCCCATGGGATACTACTCATGGCAAACTGAAATTTGACTCTAAGGCTGCTTTTGTGCTGAAGTTTATTTAGTTATTCATATAGGGATTGATTCGGCATCATTAAAGCCACTGGGGAAGGGTGGTTTGCTATTGATGTTAGTGTATCTGTGATCCTGCCCATAATATTTAGAGCTGTGGAATATACAGTATAAAGATTTATTGATAGTAATGGGATGCAAGAACACATGACAATATCAAGAGGAGCAGAGGAGACTACACTAGCAATCTGCAAATGGACTCCCGTGTCCTGACACAGAGTGGTCAAGTGATGTTGGGCAGGCATCTTTTTTTCCTGTTTCTTTTGCTCAGTTTCCCGAGCTGAGAAATAGGGGTCATACTGCTTTGCTTTGCAAAAGGATTGTGAGGACCAATTAGTTAACTTTATGTGAAGCTTGGTGGAAGCACAAAGTATTAGTATGCAGAATTCAATCAATACACATCTTTAAAAGCAAAATCCAAAAAAGGAGAAAAATGGTTTTACAGTCTTTGGTCTCCACAGAGCCAGGAGTTTCTGGAAAGAACAAATCCATAATTGTTTGACTTGCTCAAAAATGCAGAATTGACAAGGGATTTTGGATTAGAAAAGGTTCATTGGTCTTTTCCATCTCTGGTCTTGTCATCCTATTAGCTCATCCATCACTTTTCTCTGCCAGGACACGAGTTTTTCCCAGCTGTACATTTCTAGTAGTTTAACTGTTTTTAAAAATCCCTGATGTCTTTGTTTTCCCAGAAAGCCTATTCTGCAGTCTCCAAGCACTCATTAGGACAAGATGTGTCTTGATACTTGAGCTATGATTTTTTTCCTTTCAATAGTTCCCCTTCCTACTTTGCCTCGGTGTACCTCTCTCTTCTTCCTTGGGTTCATCCATGGCAGAAGGTTGCTAAGCCAGGTTCTTTCTCCTGCTTGATTACCAGGAGTTTGGGGAAAAACGGTCTTGTGGTTAAAGGTGAGATCTAGAAACCAGTTCTTCTCTTGACAGATTTCTCCTTGATGTCCTTGGAACTGGGCTGGGGACATTTCTGGGTAAAGAAACTGTCCTTCCTCTGAAGAAGAAGAGTATGATATTCCCTTAGTACCTAATTGAGGGCTTCATGATTTCTTCTCATTAGGGGAGGAAAGATTTTCCTGGTTCTTGTTGTGATACATGATGTACATACCACCTGCTGCCCCCTGGGCATGTGGCGTAAGCCTGTTCTTCAGGCAGAAGGCACCAGTATTCAAAGATGGCACGAACAGGTAAGCATGACTTCAAAATTCTGCCTTACACTTGAAATGTTCAGCTTGATGCTGTAGGAGGGACTTAGGCCCTCCCCTTGGGGAGTGCATATGAGGGTCACCAGGCACCTTCTCTCCTCCCTATATAGGCTGCAGCGAGGCGAACAGCTGTGAATGTAGCCCTTTAAGATCTGGGGACACTGCCCCTAACACAGAAGTGCAGGTTATTTAGGCAATGCCGAGTGAATGAGGATCGGGGCAGGAAGAGAGCCGATGGAGCAATCAATAGGTGTCTCAGATATCCAGGCCACTTTCTTTATGAGAGCTCCGATCAATGCATTGCAACGAGGGAACTGCACGGACACCAGAGCTTTGCTGTCTCAGTTTCTCCTGGCGTGACGCTGCAGGGCAGGCGAGACTCACTGGGGAAAGCAGTAGGTGGAAAGCTCTGCCCACGGAGCCCAACCGGCTCAGATGTCTGAAGTGTTGGCCTGTCTGGCTGCCCGTCTCTCACTTTCCCCTTCCATCTGGACTGCGCCCCCAGAGAGCATTAATTAGCCCCTCACTGGCATGCTCAGATAGCAAACCACTGAATCTGGAGTCCAACGTTCCAGTGGACTCCAGTCCCAGTGCCTCTGTGGAGAGGCACCGTCCCCAGAAAACCTGCTCTGCTGCTCTTGGCCTTGCTGAAGCACCAGCCTGCAGGCAGTGGGAGGTGGGGCATTTTCACAGCTTCGTCCAGTAGAAGTGCATTCCCCCCTGCACTGCAAAATCAGGGAAGCCTGAGATACTGCTGTCCCCAAATGGAGAAGATGATATCTACATACGTGCCTGGGCAGTGGGTATGGCCAGTGAAGGAAAGCATGCCCTGCAACTTGCAGAGGAGAGGCATTGTTCAGAGCTGGGCATCCCTGTCTTTGGCCACCCCATTGCCTCTCTTTGCTCCCAGCACTGTCTGCTTTGTGCCCACAATGACCAAAGTGTAGCTTTTTAACTCTGGGCTCTACAAAGTAGATCTAGATCTCTGTGGCTCTCTAGAATGATGGATAAAGAAATTTCAGCGGTTTGGCAGGTCTCTTTTAAAACCTCAATATACCTTGTCAGTTTTGGGGGGAATATACCCTTGCCATTCATGCTCTAGCCACCCATGGCCTTTCTGTTCTACAGCAATTTGTTTGTCTTCAAGAGGTAGATGTAATTTCAGATGACATGATGGCTTGTGTAAGTGGGCTCAGAGGTTTGATTTTGGACATTGGCTGCTTAAACATGATCTCACGGCCTTGCTCTCCACACATCTGCTGTCTCTCTGAAGTCACAATCCTGTGTGTCACCTTGCAGAATGGCACCGTGATGAGGACAGTGATGTCAGTCCTTCTCTGTGTGTCAGTGTGGCGGGTTGACCTTGGCTGGCCACCAGGTGCCCACCAAGTTGCTTTCTTACTCCCCCTCCTCAGCAGGACAGGGGAGAAAATATGATGAAAAAGCTTGTGGGTCGAGATAACAGCAGGGAGATCACTCAGCAATTACTGTCACAGGCAAAACTCGACTTGGGGAAAATTAATGTAATTTATTGCCAGTTAATAAGAGAGTAGGATATTGAGAAATAAAAACAAAACTAAAAACACCTTCCTCCCTCTTCTGCTTCTTTCCAGGCTCACTCATGACGTTTACCTCCTCCCTCCCCAAGCAATGCAGGTGGATAGGGACTGGGGGTTTGTCTCTGATGCTCTTTCCTCCTCACGCTGTTCCCTTGCTCCAGCGTGGGGTCCCTCCCATGGGATACAGTCCTTCATGAACTTCTCCGATGTGAGTCCTTCCCATAGACTGCAGTTCAAGAACTGCTCCAGCATGGGTCCTTTCCACAGGGTACAGTCCTTCAGGAAAAACTGCTCCAGTGTGGGTCCCCCAGGGGCAACAGTTCCTGCCAGAAAACCTGCTCCTGCATGGGTTCCTCTCCACGGGCTGCAGCTCCTACCAGGAGCCTGCTCTGGCATGTGCTTTCCACAGGCTGCAGCTTCCTTCAGGGCATGTCC